TTAGTATATAATAATTAATGAATAACGTTAAGCATTTAGGATTAACAACAAACACCCTTGTAATGATGATGCAAAAAAAAATAAATTAAATAAATTAAAATCACTTGGAAATATGATCTTTTAATCAACTATATTCCTCCCTTTTTCGTTTTTTTCTTTTTTTTCTTTTTTTTCTTTTTTTTTCCTTTTTTTTTTAAAAAAAAAAAATGTATTCTGAATTGTTAACGCAGTTGTCTGGCGATATAATAAAGTTGATACATAATTCTGAAGGATATGATGTTAAAATAAAAGTTGGTGAATCTCCAAATATTCAAGAATTTAAAGCTCATTCTTTGATATTGAGAGCTAGGTCTCCTTATTTCCACAGAGCTTTATCATGCGAATGGACAAAGAAACAAGAAAATATTATCATATTTGAGAAACCTAACATGTCTCCCAATATTTTTGAAATAATATTAAGGTAAGTCTGAAATTATAACTACAAATACTCGATCCTGTACTTAATTTTCTTATCTTTTTTTTTTACAGATATATCTATGGTGACATATTTCGATTAGATGATTATGACCCTTTTGACATTCTTGATCTTCTTATTGCTGCCGACGAAATAATGATTGATGATGTTTTAATGAATCATGTTCAAACTTATTTGATTCATTCAAAAGCTACTTGGATAGACGATAACCTTTTAGATATTCTTACTATTGTTTCTCCCCGTGATTCTTGTCAAAAATTACGAGAGTATTGTCTTGATGAAATAATTTTACGTGATCTATTATCCTTCTTTGATGCTGGTTGGTTTCCCTCTATAGATGAATCAATACTTTTGGCTTTATTACAACGTGATGACCTTGGATTAAGTGAAACTGTTCTCTGGGAGTATGTTTTAAAATGGGGTATCGCAAACACTTCTGGTCTTGAAAGACCCATTGAACATTGGTCTCCTAAAGATTTTGCTGCTTTAGAAAAAACTCTACGTAGATGCATACCACACATTAGATTTTTTCAAATGTCTCGTTCTGACTTTTATAAACATGTTCAACCTTTTGCAAAGATCTTACCCGAAAACCTTTTGAACAATATAACACTCTATCACCAAACGAACTGTCTCCATTCAATAACGTTACCAGCACCAAGAAATCCTGCAATACGAATCAATTCTTCGGTTATTATTAATCCGAAATGTGCCAAGATCATTATAAGTTGGATCGAGAAAAAACCATTTCAATCTAATAAAAATATTAATTGCACTTATGACTTCAATCTATTATATCGTGCAAGTCGTGATGATAGTGATTCTTTTCACAGAATGTGTGATAATATTGGTCCAACGCTCATTGTAATAAAAGTCGAAGGTACTAATGAAATAATTGGTGGTTATAATGCGTTAAATGTTGGTTGGCAAAGAGGTTGGCTTTCGTGTAGTCGTGGATCAAAAGATTGTTTTATATTTTCTCTTGGCATTGATGCAAAAAAAGCAAAACTTGAAGAAGATGCGAAATGCGGTTACATTTTATATGATCAAGTGGACCTTGCTATATATGATCATCCACAAGACGGTCCGTGTTTCGGCTCTGGACCGGATCTTTATGCTAATACTAAACGCGATCAACCTTTAGGATATCGTCAGCATAGATGTTATAAATCAGGTGTTTTCGATAGACAAGGCAGTTTTAGGTGGAAGGATTGGGAGGTATTTCAAATAGTTAAAAAAGAAATATAGGTGGTTAAATATTTTCTTAATTCTTCTTAATTCTTAAAAGCATTCTTCATAGACTTTTGTATTTAAAAGAAATATAATACTAATAATAATCATAATTTTGGATCTTATTAAACAAATCCGAGTTAAAGATAGGTTAAGAAGGCATTATATGTATGTAAAGTTGTCTTCCCAGCTTTTGCTTTTTAAAACACTTGTTTCACACTATTTTCTCTTCTCGCGTATTTGCTGATTTATTCGATCATGTGATCAAATTTTAATGATCTTTTTTTTTTCTAAATAAAGAAATTCTCACATTATGTTTGCGCTATATTATGCAAATTTATTTGTTACGTACCTTACTCTTTGCAAATTTTCCTGTAAATATAAATCATTCTATCTGTTTGTTTACCATTATTAAATGCTTGTCTTGCAGGCAAATTGGCCTGTAAAATGGCGTAGGCGATAATTGGCTTAAAGTTTCACGTAAGTACATATCGGGTAAAGGAGTAACTTTTATAACGTAATCCTGGAGAAAAGGTACACAAATAACCTCCTTGGGGGTCGAGCTTAATAAATTTTTTATTCTTATTAAAATTACATCATGTGATTAAATAACCTTTAATAGCATTCATTTTGAAGTTTTGAATCATATACGTACGTACGTACGTACGTATTCGTTTTGAAATAACCCTTTTTAAAAAAATACAAATGTTATTGGGGTGTTCTACATATATCGATATCGTTCTAAATTACAACCATAGTACATAATGATGATCCCCTAATTAAGGGGCTTCCGTAATTACCGCCACGCACCCCGGATTATTTCGAACAAACCGACAAAGACAACCCACGAAAATATCAAAAATGGCTATCTAAACCGGTCTTGATGCACTAAGTAAAGGTGATTTTACTATATATCTACTAACCTCTTAGCCTATGTCTAACCCTACTCCTAATATTAATTAAAAATCGGAAAAACCGGAAGGTGCCAAGCTTTAAACGCCCTAATTAAGATTTTTATAGATCAATGATAGTGTAATAGTAAAACCATATAATTAAACCAGCAAATCCACACAAATAAAGTTGTCGGGTTTATCCTAACGTGCTTTTTAAAGTAACGTCTTTTTTAAAAATTATTTTTATTGTTTGGATCGTAGCGGATCGTTCTTGATATATTTTTAATAAAAATATCAAAACGTTATTTGAATTTTTTGTCTTATCAACAATATTCAAAGTTACGTTTTTGGTATTTTTATTAAAAACAAAAACGATCATGTTGCGCGGAAATTGAGTCCTCCGCTATGCTCCAAACAATAAAAATAAATAAAAAAATGATATTGTTATTAATTAAAAGAACATGCTTTAATGAACTTGACAAATAAATTTTATATATGTAGGTTTGCTAGTTCAAAAGTTATTGGTCATCATTTGCACTATGATAATACATTGCCGCACCAATTTTTCACGGATGATCCTTGATTTTGATTGGCTAAGAGAGACGAACAAAAATTTAGGCCGAAGTTACTCAAAATGTTACGTACTAATGAAACCACAGCTGCACATTAAGTAAAAAATATTCCTCTAAAAATTTCCCCTTTAGGGGGTCGTTTAAAGCCTGGCACCTTACGAAATTACCCGATTTTTCCGATTTTTAATTAATTAATATTAGGGTTAGTG